GGGGGCATCCAGTTTTGCCGGTTCACCCCCCCTGGACCGGTCCGGCCCCGGTTGGACCGGGGTTGGACCGGGGCAGGTGATCCGGCCGGTTGCTGGCCCAGCCTTGGTCTGACTCTGACCATCATTAAATACAATGCATAAATTGTTACAACTTGTTTGAAAGGCAGATGACCCCACATTCATCCAAAAAAGGAGTGGTGAACATGATTACAATGCACGTGCTGTTGTGTTCGGTATACACAACTCCACACGCTAGGACGCAGCGGATAAAAATAGGACACGACCAAAAAAGAAATTGAAAACAAGATAGACAAAACAAACATCTCCCCATACACAACTACAACTAATGTGAATCGCTGCTATCTGGCCCAGAAGATGGATTGTTCCTACGTGGACGCAAACTGCGGATGGCATCTGCAAGAACGAGATAACCCTTCTCCACCCTATCCCCAGTTATAGTAGCTATCCTCTCACGTGACGCAATGTCCTGCTGCATAAACTCCCGATGAACCTCAGCTTGATGCCTTGCGATGTCACGTGTCGCTTCGCAACGCATCTTCACGCACTCCCTGTCAGAACGTGTGAGAGCCGCGGTGTGATCACGCATAGCACCTATGACAGCCTGCAGACTTGACTCATGTGCATTGATGGCAGTTCTTTTTCGTTTACCTAGCATCGGATCGAAACCCGTTGAACGTTGCCCGCTCGGTGAACTGTGAGGCCCACCCGGTGAACTGCCCGACCCGCCTGCCGGATCTTCACTTCCTCCCTCTGTCTCCCCATCAACCTCGTTGCACCTTTCACTGTCTTCAAGACGCTCCTCGTCCACCCCCGAGTCCATCAAATTCGTCAGATTAATGGAGTCTTTGTCTTTCTCCACCGGGTGTATGTCATACCAATCCCGACGAAGAACAAAGCTGACGTTGTACTTCTTCCGCCTCGTTTGGTTCATGTCCCAGTAGCTCGGCAAACCTGACCAGCTTTCGTGTGCCTTCAATCTTCTGTAATAGTCAAGGATCTGATGCATGATTTTGAACTCCGTTGTAACTGGGTTGTGGTCTGACAACGAAGCCTGAGTTGTTTCCACCTGCGTACAGGCCAACCAAGGTTCCCCTTTCATCAAGAGAAAGTCTAACCTTCTTCGAACCGGTGGGGTCTGTGACCCAAACCATATGTACCCATTCTCTTCTGGGTGCAGTATTCTGAAGGCATCACTCAGTCCTTGCGATGTTATGAATGCCTGTAGAAATCTCGTGTCAGTCTTAATTGAGCTCGGTACTGGGCTGTCTAGGCCCGGGTTGAGTATTGTGTTCCAGTCCGCTGCCAGGATCAAATTGTCTGAGTCAGGAATGAGGGCTGGTAGTTCGGCCAGAAAGGTCACCCTTTCGTTGTATTCCGGCTGATGCTGCGGGGATAACTCCAGGTCGAATTGTGAGGTCCCCCGGCCTCGTTTTAATCCTTGAAATCTGAAAATTATGATCTTTCAAAAAAAAAAAAAAAAAAAAAAAGACAAAACTATGGCACAGTCAAGGTTTGATTTTTTTTTTTTTTTTTTTTTGTTTAATTTAATTTAGAAAGGGCGACGGCCTTGAGATATTATCATTGAGCTGACCGGCCCCAAGCAATTCATTAGTCTTTGGTTTTACTCGTCAAGTTCCATCATCTGGATTCGAACACAGGTCCGTATTTCAACTGTTCATGGGTGTACCCACTGAGCTAGGCTCTTGGGTCAGGGTTTGAGTTTGAAAATGCACTTGATCGGGTCAGTGGGGCCACGTGGGGACGTGCTGTATTCGCGGGATTGCCTGAAGTGCATTTTCAGACTGTTTTCGTGATTGCCCCGACCAAAATTTTCGGCGCGGGAGGATGCCCTGGTCCCTGAGGAGCGTCTAACGACGCCCTGAGACTCCCTCCCTTGAGAGCTCGAACCTACCGTCTTCACCCGAATAGAACGCCCGGTCATTATCGCCGCATCTGGACTGGAAGCTACTGCAAATACAGCCATAATGACTGGGCGTTTTATTCGGGTGAAGACGGTAGCACTGATGAGGCCTGCCCCAGAACTTCGATGTTCCGTCAGCTACCAGGCGAACTGATATACTCTTTCATTGCGTTTTTCGTGCCGACGACGAAGCAGACAACCAGAGACTACCGGTAGTGTGCCAGGGCATCGCTACACCACTTTTGAAAATGTGCAAAATGAGAATGAAAGTCCCGCTACAACATGGCCAGATGCACCCGCCACATGTTTGTCTTTTTCACATTTCGAGAGTGGTGTGGCGATGCCCCTACTTGAGGACCGGTGGTTACGGAAAGAGAGAGAGAGAGAGAGAGAGAGAGAGAGAGAGAGAGAGAGAGGCGCCACATGTGTTTCCGGCGCGAACTAGATCTTCTGGTGTGGCGCAGGCGTGATGAGTTGAGACTTTTGATTCGGCCTTTAGGTTACCAGGGGGTCAGCCCCTACTGGTATTGCGTACCGGCAGATGCGCGTTGCTCTTGTCCACGGCATCGCTTCTTTCTCTCTCTCTCTCTCTCTCTCTCTCTCTCTCTCACCCCCACAGAATCTGCCGAGAGGAGACGAGAGTGTTTTGTGGCGCCAGAGGGCCCTCGCTTTTTGACCGCTCGTCGGCCCCCGCGTGTCCCTTGCCCGCCCCGCGCCCGCCCGCCCGCCCGCCCTCGGGGGGTGGAGGCCGGCAGGCCGGCCGGGCCGTGGCCGAGGCTGCCATCGCCAGCCTCCCTCGGCGACAGCCAATCCATTCTCAATCCAGCGCCGGCGATGACATCCATAGCCTGGCCATCGCCATAGCCAGACCGTTCACCATAGCCAGCCCATCTTCGCAGAGCTGGCTCGACCCGTATTAAGCCGAAAGCCGTTAGCCGATAGCCGAAAGCCGTAAGCCGAAAGCCGTTAGCCGAAAGCCGTTAGCCGAAATCCGTAAGCCGAAAGCCGTAAGCCGAAAGCCGGAAGCTGGAGAAGACAGCGTGTGACGAACGAGACGCCCCCCCCCCACCAGATCCCCGCTCTGCTACCGAGGTCAGTCTCTCTTCCCTCCTCCAGTCCTCCCTCCCTCACTCCCTCCCTCCCTCCTTCGCCCTCCTTCCTCCCACGTCTATTTGTCCTCTCTTGTTCCTTCCAGGCCTTGTCCTCTCGTTCTCACCACTTTATTTCTGTTCTTCTTCTCCTACTTTCCCTCCTCTCCTCTTTAAATTTATTTTTATTTTCTCCTCTTTTCCTCTTCTGGTGTTCGTAATTCTCTTCTTTCCTTTTCTGTCACGTCTTCCTTCCTTGACGCGAATACGACGCCTTGGCATTATCCCTGTATCTGGGCTGAATGTTGCCCCAAATACAGCTAATATAACGACCGCGCGTTTCATTCGGTTGAATCGGTTTTCTTTAAAGACGGCAGTTGTCCTCATTAAAGCTCTGACGCAAGCTATCTCCTTGGCTCTTCATTGTCGCCTACAGTATACTCCCCACATACTCTCTCTCTCTCTCTCTCTCTCTCTCTCTCTCTCTCTCTCTCTCTCTCTCTCTCTCTCTCTCTGTGTCTCTCTCATTTTCATCGTCCCTCTGGCCGATGTCTATCTTTCTTCAGACACAAGTAAATACACAGAAACTCTCTCTCTCTCTCTCTCTCTCTCTCTCTCTCTCTCTCTCTCTCTCCTGTCTCTTATACACATCTAGATGTGTATAAGAGACAGGTTTAGGGTTCAGCCTCGTGATGAGTCGGTGAAACTCCGACGAAACAGTTTGTCACAGCCCCTCGTTTGTTGTCCTCTTCTCTCTCTCTGCCTACGGTTTACCGGGCAGTTCTGTTTGTGACGATATATATATATATTTAATCCAGATGAGTGAATTTTATGGTGGAAGGCTGGAAGCTGTGTGACAAAAAGCCGTCTTCCAGCCTAACACAACGCACCCTCTCATCATTAGGACTTTATTTGGCCAAATGGATGCGGAAGATAGCTTGTGTTCGTTCAGGGGAACTTCAGGACGGTTTCATTTCCCATCCCTGTAGAGGTCCGCGTTGTGTTCGTGGGAAGAAGATACGGTTTCCTGGGCCCCGGTGACCCTACTGCCGTGATTGTCTGAGTACGGTAAAATCGGTGGTGGGGCTTGAACCAGTAATCAGCGGGGTTTGAACTACCGTCATAGTAGTCTGAGTACGGGTGTCACTGACCCGAACATAGTTTCCTGAACAGTTACTTTGGTAGTCAGTGGGGGCGAATACGGTAATCAGTGGGGTTTGAACTATAGTAATTATAGTGCGAGTACGGTAATCAGTGGGGGTTGGAACGAGAGTAATTAGTCTGAGTAATGTTATCAGTGGGGATTGAACTAGAGTAATGAGCCTGAGGACGGTAAATTAATCAGTGGGGTTTGAAGTGCGGTCATTAGTCTGAGTACGGTAATGATGGGTAAGCACTGGGGTTTGAGCTACAGTAAATTAATTAGTGTAAGCAGTAAGTACGGTAATCAGTGGGGTTTGAACTACAGTAAATCAATTAGTGTACGCAGTAAGTACGGTAATCAGTGAGGTTTGAAGTACAGTAAATTAATTAGTGTAAGCAGTAAGTACGGTAATCAGTGGGGTTTGAACTACAGTAAAT